CTTTATTGAGGATTCTTTCTTTTTTGATGCAAAAGTTTATTGCCATAAACTGCCATCTTAGAATCGCTTTTGCTGTACTCCATAAGCTTTAACATGTATATTTCCATATTTTTTTTTGTCTCAAGATATTTAAAATGTCCCCTTTTAATTTCTTCTTTGACACATGGCTGTTTATGCACATGTTCTTTGAAATCCACATATTTGTGAATTTTCCAAAATTCCTCACTGCTGATTTCTAGTTTCACACCATTGTTTTCAGAAAAGATCGTAAATGACTTGAGTCATTTAAAACTTGTTAGGATTTGTACTGTGGCCTAATGTATGATTTATTTTGGAAAATGCTTGAGAAAGTTTGAGCTGTTACTGGGTGGAATGTTCCTTGTATATGTATGAGGCTCCTCTTGTCTAAAGTGTAGTTCAAGTTCATTATTTCCATTTTCATTTTCTATCTAGATGATCCATCCACTCTTAAAAAGAAGGTACCAGAATCTTCTATGATTATTCTTTTGGTATATGTTTGCAATACAATACACCCTCGCAGAGTTGCAGTTCAAAGTTCATTGCAGATTTTTCCTTACAACCTAACTGACAATTGTTTGCAGAAACTCCCACAATTTCACAGAAACCACCAATATGCTCTGCAATTGCGTTTTTGGTGGAGGTTTGTACATAGACAATCTGAGAGCACATTCAGTTCTCCTTGCTGCTCATTGGCTGTTGCCCTGCAATCCATCTTTGGAGGATGCACCAGTATTCTCGCATCATAACAGGTTGCTCTACTCTGTAGCTATCTCAAGTGTTATCAGCTTTGTTCTTGTTAAAGCCCTAAGATCCCTAAGATGTCACAAAAACACCCTGCTCCTTCTAAGGCTTTATTAATGCAGTATTTTATTAAGTTTTACTGTATTTTATTAAGTTAAATTACTGTGGGAGATATAGCATATTTAGGGTTTAAACTATAAAAATAGACATTTATAGGCATTTCTTACCATATCTGAAATTCATGGTTTTCCACAATTCACAGGTGCTCTAGGAACATAACCCTTGTGAATTTCAGGGGTCCACTGTACATGATAATTACATTCATCTTGGGGAGTCCTTAACTATTACAAAATTGTAGTCTGTCTCTCCCTTCAGGTCTATTAATATTTGCTTTATATATTAATTGTACTAATGTAGAGGGCATTGATGAAATGACACTTTTATCATTACACAGTAAAACCTTGGTTTGCGAGCAAATCCATTCCAGAAATATGCTTGTAATCCAAAGCACTTGTCTATCAAAGCAAATTGGCCCAAAAGAAATAATGGAAACTCAGATGATTCATTTCACAACCCAAAAATATTCATATAAAAATTATCACAATGCATATATTCCTTGTTTAATGACCAATTACATGCTCACATCTAAGTCACTGAATAAATTGGTCACTAAATGAGGAATTGTATATAACAGGTACGTTACAACATTCAAAACAAAAAATGGTCAAAGGAAACTCCAACTTAATGACTCTGCTTTTATTTGCATCACTCTTGCATGCAGTACCACAATGTCTAATAGAACATAAACTACAGTACTGTATTGTACAATATATTCAGCAAAAATTACAGTACTGTATTATAGAAAAAGCCACCATAAAACCGCACTGCCACTCACATACCTGCATCTTGATAAGTCCAAATGCAGGTCATAAGCCTGAATGGCAGGCAGCAAGTGCAAATAGTACACTTTGGTGCCATGACCCGCACAGCATAGGTTCCAAAGCCAGGGAGAGCAGTAGGAGATGAAGAAGAATGAGAAACATCATGATCATGCTTGATAGCATGGACCAGGCGGACCCACAGCCTATCAAGAGCTAAAGGCTGTCTGGAGCCCAGTGCACTTTTTTAATTATAGTGTAAAATAAACAGGAAGAGAAGGTGGGTAACTAGTTCTACGTGGCCCATGTGGCCTAGGCCAAATGTAGCATGGTTGTCTGGTGATTGGGGCATGCACAGAAAGGGAAACAAGAAGAAGGATACAAAATGTAACTATGTCCTGGGGTTGTGCCATCAGGGTCTACAATCTTAGCCAAACAGACTGTCTTTTGACTTATGCATGGAGGAGAAAGGGAGTAGGGAGGAGGTGAAGGATCATCTTCAGGCTCAGCCCGAGGCACTTTGGCAGTAAATCCAAACAGTTGTTAAACAAGGAATATCTGCATTGTAATATAATATAAAATAACGAAGAAAATGTAAAGAAAAATAAATAAATAAGTTTGTACTTACCTTTGAAAACCATGGCTGTGTGAGGGGGCCAAGAGAGAGAAGGGTTATTGTGTATGATGATTCTGACTATCATTAATGGAATCACTGCTATCTGTGGCTCAATGGAATCTTTTCCTTTTATGCATCTTTAACAAGAAAACTTTCCAAAGACATTTGCTTTTGCTTCGTTTTGAGGATTTTGCAGAAATGAGATAGTGCATTGTTAAACAGATTCATTATTTGCACCACTACAGCCTTATTTAGGTGCTACTTTTCTACAAAATTTTACACATGTCCCTAATCTTATTTGAAGTAAGGGATTTCTCCACCTTTTTCCCCCTCCTCTGCTGACAAGATCTCTTCCATAATCTCCTGCTGTTGGTAGACAATCACCCACAATCCCTCAGGGGAGAACCATTGGCTCATTTGTGATCATGTGACATTTGGCATGACATGCTATTTGTACTACTAGACATTGCTCATTTATCAAGTTAACATTTATTTATCTTGCAGAACACTAGAAGAACAAGTTACTTGCAATCCAAGGTTTTACAGTAAAATTATCATCTTTATCTCTTTTTTTACAGTTTTTGACTTAAAGTCTACTTTGTGCGCTATAACTATAGCTACCTGTGTTCTACTGTTGCTTCCATTTGCAGGAGTGTCTTTTATGCATCCTTTTATTTTCAGTCTTTTACATACTTCGTTAAAGGTGAAGTAAATCTCCTGTGGGCAGCATATAGTTGAGTCTTTTCTTTTATCTATTCAACTACTCTATGCCTTTTGTTTGGTGCCCACAGTGGCTGATACGGATACCTCTTTCCTTCGTCTTGTTCTTGTCTGTCCCTGGGAATCTCTGATATGTTGGTCTCACTACTGACCCTTTCTGTGCAGATATTCTCTATTTTTTGCTCCACTGTGGTGCCGAATATTTTTAAATGTGCCTTTGCACTCTCCTGGGGCTACTGTTGTTTGTGGATAACTATTTTTGTTTTTCTGTGGTGGGATTGAACATTAGTGTCTTGTACTATGTCATCTTGTGGACATCTACTCTCTAGGAATTTTTGCTTTCCTCATATTCACTAAAATTTTACATTTTTGAACTTGAAAGCACATTATTGCTAAGAATCTATCATTCTACTTAGCGTCCTTCTACTTCCTTATCTGAGAACTTAAAAAAATAATAAGACAATGCCCAGACGGGGTTTAGAGAGCAAAAATTAGAACAGAGCGAAACGGAGACAGGTTTTACAAAAATACTAGCTGATCTTGAGAATACAGTGTGCCAGTAATTGTTCCAAAGGCTTTAATTTAGTGTAATCATCCTCACACTTCTATGCGTTTGGTGACTTTCGTCCATCCCTATGTACTCACATGGCTGAGCAGACTGAGTCACAGAGAGTTAGCAACTTGACCACATGTCAGCCGGTGGGCAGTGGAGCCAGGCAGTCTGGCTTTGGACTCTGGACTCACACCAGGCTGCCTCACAGACTGCCCATCCCTTCCTCTCTCTCAGTTTCCCTTGTTTTTCCATGGCCATTCCTCATGACCACTTCCAGCACTAACCTTTCTACTCTCACTATGTAATTAATCCCTTTTTCTTGGTGCCAACACCTAAAGTTCAAACGCTGTTCCGTGCTTCTTAATTAATCTTTATCCTCAGAATTTCTTCCAGATCTTTCCATTTTAGCCCATTTAAAAATCTACCCATGGCAGGTGTGGTGGTACACACCTGTAATCCCAGCACTCCAGAGGCTGAGGCAGGACTGCTGGGAGTTCAAGACCAGTTTGAGTGACATAACAAGACCTTGCCCGCACCCCACCAAATCTAGTCATGAAATGCCTGTTACAAGCTGTAAACATCACGGAATGAAGGAAGAATAGCACCCATTACTACACAACCCCAGATCCCAGAGGATAAACTGGAGTTAGTTTTCTGACTGGATACTTAATACTTGGTATTGGATTTTGCTATCTGAGAAAAATAATACTGATAACGAAGAGCTACCTGTGTGCCTGATATTATTTTAAGCACTCTTTATGTATTAACCATACAGCTGCCTTGTGAGGTGAGCTCTGTTCTTATCATTCTGATTCACAGTTGAGAGCTACAGAGAGTTTCAGTAATTACCTAACATATACCCAGGGTGTCTCCAGCTTTAATGACCTAGCTTACTGTACCAACAGCCTTGTAGTCCCAAGTACTCTGTGAGAAGAGAAAAACTAACAGTTCCATTTTTAGATTTTCCTCAGGAGAATTTCCAGAATTCCTTTCAAACTGTCTGTATCTCTTTTATATGTCACTTCAAAGATGGGTTTCAACCATCTTCCTGAAGTGCCAAAAATCCTTGAGTGGATTTTCCCATTTTCTACCCAATTATTTTTGGCTTCTATTTTTTGCTCTATTCCCTCAGAAGGCTGCTGGAAATATAAACATTCATGGACATTTCACAATAACTGGAATTTACACTTGGACCCTATGATTAACACAAAGCAAGTCTCCCAAATGTGTGAGTTTAAACTGGGACTCCTGTCTCAATCATAGGAAACCTGACCCTTGTGGGTGTGGGTCCTGCCCTGCTTGGCTCAGCCTGGGATGTCCAGAGCTGATTCACACTTGTCCCTGTCTCCAGGCAATCTCCCGTGGAAAGGCGTGACCCCTCACCCTTGGCAACCGCTCTTTCTAAGTTGCCAACGTTGGTCCCGCATTATCAACACTGCAACTTCATGGGAAAGGCGGTGAATTTCAGAAAAGCGAACAGGAAGTAGTTTTTGTAAGCAGCCTGACACTGAGGGGAGCCAGTGAGAATATAAGAAGCCCAGGCTGAACAGAAGGTAGAAAGCCAGCCAAGCTACAGAGGAGATGGTAAGTTCATTTTTCTTTTTGTATGAGAAGTGAATGAGTTGAAGTGGTTTGGGGCTGGATTGGGCAGATAAATGCTCAGAAAGTGAGGAACGACAATAATCATGGAGTTTTATGTCGAACTGTTTGTTGGAATTTGCAAGGTTTTTCTTTTTTCTTTTCTTTTTTTTTCTTTCTTTCTTTCTTT